CTTTTAGTTGGAACAACCACAAATTGGTCATACACCCACAGAGGGTGACGCTGAACATGACGCACATCGTGCTGAATCATTGAAAACTTCATAAACTCAGTGCACATAACGGATAATTACAACATGCCGTTTGTCCACACAGAAACTCTGGGTCCATGTTTAAAAAGATATGACGTTTTTAGATAATTGAATCTGACAGGAGTTCCATATATTTCCATTAAATAATGTTAGCATGCAAGTCTGACATGTGTTTTCACAGAACTACAGCACAACCTGGTTTCCAATCCTCCACGGAGATTTCAGTTTCCAAATGTTCAATCCAAGCATTTACTTACATTTACTTTGTCTGATACACAGAAAATATTCAGTGAGAAGCAGTTGTCTGTTCAGATGGTCAGATGATGATACGATATAATAACCACTAATTACAACCAAAGTATGTGAATCAAGCCTTAAAGCAGATGAGCTACAGCAGCAGGTAAGAATGCAAAGTGGACACTGAAAACCACACAGGCTCACCTAAATGGCACTAAAGAAAATTGGAAAACATGTTGCCTGGTCTGATGAGTCTTCATTTCTGGTGCAACATTTGGAAGGTAGAATTAGAGTTTGGTGTTAACAGCATGAAAGCATGGTTCTAACCTGCCTACAAACAGCTTATACTGGATGTGGAGGTGTCATAGTGAGCAGATTCTTGTCAGACTTTTGGTGCTTTAGTACCAACTGAGGATCATTTACATGCCACAGCCTGACTGACCTCCACAGTCACCAGCTCTCAGTCCAGTGGAGCACCATCGGGATGTGGTGGTACGTGAGATTTCAATCATGGATGTAGAGCTGACAAATCTGGAGCAACTTTGTGATGTTATAATGTCTAATAATGTCTCTCTGGACCAAAATCTCTGAGGAAATGAGGACCTTCCAGCACCTTGTTGAATCTATGCCACAAAGAATCAATTAAGCACTGAAAGCAAAAAAGTGGTCCTAACAGGAACTATCAAGGTGTAACTAATTAAGTGCCAGTGAGCTATATACTGTTATGTTATGTTTTCATCTTATGTATTTTAATTATTTTTATCTGATTATATTATCCCTCTGTTGAGCATTTTGGCAGACACTTGATGTCCTTTAAC